TAAAAAATACAGTATTTTTAAAGTTAAAATAAGATTAAACTAACGAAAACCAAAAGCAAAGTGATGGAGAGATAGGACGCGCTTGTATATCGATGACGTAATACACGTAACTGAGGAGCGAACGAAAGAACCGAGTCGAATTAATTAAGTCGGAAAAAAGAAAGTGTGCATTTTAATCGAGAAAATGCGAGTATTGTATTAATCTTTAAAATATTGGTGTTAAATCTGTCTTATAATAACATGACGACTCCCGTAAATTGGGTTATCCGATAAGAATAAAATACAATACCAATATAGCCCTATCGTTGAAAAAATTCGCTTATTTTTGCTCACCTCGAGTTTTGCTTAGTAGAAATGGCTAAAAAGTGCGCAAAATACGTACGGAAATACGGTATTACAGCACCACATGTATTGGACGACCACCTGTCTAAAAGACCACTTTTTGAAGGAACGGTGGGTGGTCGCCATAGACATGTTTTACTGTATTTGCATTCCTTAATTCTGAAGAAAACAAACATAAAAGAGCGCTTTTGGGCAAAAAAGGCAAGCATAAGCAACAATGTTAAATTTTGTCCCAAAATTTAGTGTCACCTTAAGAATACTGCCGATCATACCAATAACTGTAGCTAGTGGGGGAAAGGAGTTTCTCTAAATAAAACTTAATTAAAAACTTTTTACGTTCCGATACCACGCAAAATCATCTTAATAGTTTGACCTTTTTGTCGATTGCGCATGAAACTGCCGATCAAGTAAACTTAAAAGAGTTAATAAAAAAAGTTTGCAGAACAAAAAGTGAGAAAAAAGTTTCTTTTGATTTTAATATAGTTGATGTACTTTTGTTTAATTTTTATAGAATATAAGTTTTTTGTTTAGTTGTACAATAATACATTTTTGTAATATCATTAAAAATGCATCTAGTTAACAATTTGTAACTAGGTACAGATATATTTTAATTTTTACTGTTTTGTACTACTTGATTGTTAATTTTATACTGTATTACATGTTACTCTCTAAATAAATTTAAGGGGCGGAAATTTGTCTTTTTGTCCGGGACGACATAAATGTTGAGGGGGCTCTGATGTTGGTGTTAGTGTGTATTTCGTTTAATATCTCAGTTTGGGATGAAGATTAAAGAAGGAAATTTGGCACAGTAACTTGTGTATGGGGAGCATTGATGCTGTTAAATTTTGGTGGTGAAAGGTCAAGGGGTAGAGGGACAGAGGGTGGTCACATCTCATATCTCGAAAAGGTCGGACTTAATGAAGATGTTATTCGTTATTAACATTTATAATTTTTTTTAATTAAACTCATCATTAACGTCAAAATTAAAGTTTTTGCCATTTGATAATAATTAAAAATATAAAAGGGTTTTTATAACAAAATTTCATAACAAACCGCGCGACATATAATTTTATCTATTTATGGGAAAGTAAAAAGCCAGAAAATATAGGATAAATAAGGATTTTAGAGATATTTTAACCAAAAAATTAGATAATTTCTCAAAATGATGATCGTCATTATTAAGCTTTCAATATCAACTTTAACATCAATTTTAAAATTGATCTAAATATCAATTTTAAGGTATAAAAATATTGTAAATTTCACAATTCTACACATTTTCAATCGATATTTCTTTAATATAATTCTGAAAATTTAGAACTTCCATTGTTTACTAGAAAGTCGATAGCCTTTAGTCATCCAGTTCTGCGTAGTTTCAATGACTGGTATTATATTGCAAAATCCGATATCATTGCCAGACTATTGTGCAATGTTAACAATGACAACTAACCATTATTAAATTGATACATTCACCTCTAATCAAATATTTATCCTTGAACGTCTAAAAGTAAACATCAGGTCGAATTTGCAGGCGTAACGGTATACAGGGAAAACCAAAATTCAGTTAACCATTATAAAGAATAGATTGCTGTCACCAGGAGCGAATTCTCTGGACTTGCTTAGCATGCGCCACATGCTTAAGAAAAAGTTTTGACTGTCAATATATTTTTTATATGAGAACAAATATGCCAATAATAATTTATTCTAGCGTGTAAGCTCTTTTATCATTTGTGTTTCCTTTTACACTGGCAGCTAGCGGCTAGCCGTTTTAAGTCAGTGCGATGCTTGCGAGAACGCGATCGCTTGCTCGTGTGGTTTTTCGCAGCAAATATTCGAAGCATTTAATACAGCCAGATTGTATCGAAAGCTTGTGGTACTCATACATGTATCGTGTACAGGGGCGGATCTACATAGGAACTAATGTCCTGCCTCCAGTGTCAGCCCTGGACCCCCAGTGTCAAGGGTCCACAAAAATTGAATTATTATCATAAATTTTTAATACTTTTTCGTTATAATATATTTCATGTGAAGATATAATGGGCGTTATAATAGTCCATACTTTTTTATTTACACCAAATAACGTTTTTGTCTATTGTTTAGTGCTAGAGATAGACCTATTATCCTTATTATAACTTTCAGCATGCCCAAAAATTTTGGTCAGGATTCGCCCCTGGCTCTCATGTTATAGTGTTTCCGCCTGTTTTTTCATATTCGCGAGTATACAAGTGTATTATCAAAATATGTTAAGTTCATTTTCCTTTTACGTTTCAACCTTAAAAAAACCGCCAAGATGTTGCAGAAATTCGAAATTTTGTTAGTTTTTTATTTGTATTCGGCAACACGACGCATGGGCTATCTCTCCAGGGGGATAACTCCCGGGAGAACATTCTGTGGAAATCTGGCCCCTATTTAGGCGAATAAACCCCGAAAAACGCCACGTAACAGGCTCTTTGGTTAGGGACAAATCTTCGACCAACCACCAGTGTTCAATAGTTCTAGCTTCGTCCAGGCACACAATGGAACAGCCCAGGAATGTTAGAGGCTGGGCATAAACTTTTTGAGTTGAATCCGCAGAGCTAAGGCCGGATGATTAAGGTATAGGCCTACTGCTTGGTAGACGAATCAGGACTGGTCGGAAAATCCCAGGAATTTTTCGGGAGTAGTCTGTCCCGATATGTCGGGCTCCGTTCCTTACTACCCGACCGCCTTATTGTGGGTCTAGCCCAGGGATGGGTAACCTGCAGCCTTTTGGGCCAACAAGTGTGGCCTTCTGCGACCTGTGATGTAAATGTTGATATATATTTTTTATGACCTTTATTTTTTTGCTATAGTTATTATACATAAATTTACAATACACACACGCATATATAGACGAGAGGAAAAATAACTGTGTTCAGAGATGTCACTCCCGGAAGCATTTTTCTATAAACCTAATCAATCTAAACTTAAAGCAACGTGGATATATAGGCAATATTTCCTTCTGAACATGGAATCAACATCACTTCCAATTAATCCGGACCATGAGTTTAAAAACCGGCCTGGTGGCAACACTAGTCACTAATCTCCCATGATTTGGCACTTTACCGTGAGCAAACGTTGTATAGTTTGCGGCGGCTCTAAGACGTGACGAAGTGACTTGTGAGACTGTAAGTCTGAGTTAGTTATAGCCTCATTTAAAAGCGTACATTCATGAGTGCATACGTTGTTTTGCAGACTTCCTTTTTATCACTGAGACTTAGTAACAGTGGTCGAATTCTCTGTTAGAACTACCGCATACTGCTCCAAATAAAACTGTTTTAGATAAGACACGATTAATCAGCATCCGAAACCATGTTCTTGGAATCTTGGTCATGACTTTAGCAATTGTAATTGTTTTGATTGAAAACCGTCGATATTTGACATTATTTCTATATTAATTGGATAATGATAAATAATAGTAGTCTACTAATTACAGAAAAATATATTACGAATCTAAATTATATTTATTTTCGAATGGTAGTGACAATTGCCGAATTCAAGACCAAGAATATGGTTTTGGATGCAGCGTTATCCTGTCTTGTCTGAGATCTAGTATTTTTTTCTGATCGTTTTTTTTCTGGGTCAGTGTGCGGCCGGCCTTACTAATTTCTTATCATCCTTTTATTTTTTATAGGTATTTCAGAAGAAAACATTTTCAACCCATAAGTATGTTTATGGAATTGAAACGAACTTTGAAAGAAGAAAATAGGATCTTCAATGAAGCATGGGAATTACAATATTTTTTAGTAAATAGTGGAGGCAAAATGTCTTGTTTTCTTTGTGATACCACAATTGTAACGATTAAGAAATTCAATGCACAACAGCATTATGCTCTTCATAAAGACAATAAATATGCCAAATTAGTGGGTGAGGATAGAATGATAGCACTGCAGAAACTGAAAAATGGAAAACAGAAGCAAAGACAATTTTTTCATTCTATGTTACATCAAGGGAATGATGCGACAGAAGCCAGCTATAAAGTTGCATATTTACTTGGAAAAAATGGTAAACCATTCAGCGATGCAGAACTCATAAATGAATGTATTTTAAAAGTGGTAAGATGTATAGATTCAGATAAAGTTAACAAATATGAGGAGGTGCATCTTTCAAGAAGGACTAATACAGATAGACAGCATGAATTGGCTCGTGATGTAACAGAACAGCTGAAAAATATAATCCAAAAAGAAAATGTATATTACTCAATAGCTTTGGATGAATCGACAGATTCCATTAATTCAGCACAGGTATTGTATTTTATTTATGTTATAACTGATGATTTTCAATTATATGAAGAATTGCTTGCTTTAGGCACCCTTAGAGGAAAGACACTGGGGATAGATATTTTTAACAACTTCAAAGAGCAATGTCACAAAGTAGAATTAAATATTAATAATTTGGTAAGTGTGTGCACAGATGGTGCTCCAGCTATGATGGCTAAGAATGAAGGATTTATTGCATATCTTAAAAGAGAAATCAAAGTTCCAAGTGCACTGATTGCTTCTCATTGCATTTTACATCAGCAAAATCTCTGTGCAAAATCTACCATTCTAAATGACACTTTGCAGAAGGTTATAGGCCCTAAGTATTGTGAACTATATTCGAGCAAATGCCACAAAGCATCGTCAATTTAGAAGCATGCTGATGATGGATGATGAAGTACTTAGTATAGATTTGCCTTATCATTCAGGCTGTCACAAGGGAAAGTATTGGTCAAAATTTTATCTTCACGAAGCAAAATAATTGACTTTTTCAAAGGAAATAGCAAATGTTGTCATTTATCAGATTTAAACTTTTACAGAGATGTTGCATTTTTATGTGATGTGATGTCAAAACAAAATGAGTTAAATATTTCGTTGCAAGGCAGAAATAAATCTATTTATGATATGTGGCAAAACATTCAGGCATTTAGAAAAAAGTTGTTGTTTTTCAAGTTTCTTTTGGCTAAATCCAAACTTTCAGAGGAACACTTTCCCCACTTTACGAAGGTAATGAGTGAAAATGAGGATATTTCTGGATCTTTTGGAGAATACGAGTCAGTTTTAGACTCATTAGTAGAAGAATACAATAAAAGATTCAGTGATTTTGTAAAGCATAACAGCACTCTTAAACTTGCTTTTCAGCCTCACTTAGTTGATGTATCAAAGGCTCCAGAAGATTACAAATGGAGCTTATAGAAATGTCTGAAGATAATATCCTGAAATCTCAGTTTAACAACAGGGACGATCCCATTGAAATTTGGAAAAAGGCGATAGAACATGCACGCTGAATGATGTCCTGCTTTTCTAAAACATACGGTTGCGAATCCACATTCTCGTACTTGACGCAAATCAAGAATTCACTAAGAACACAGTTGAAAAATGAACATTTAGAAGACCAACTGAAACTAAGAACCACTATGTTTGAACCTGATATCAAAATGCTTTCTCAAAAGAAGCAAACTCAAAGAAGTCATTAATTTGAATAAAGAGTAAATACTTGCTGAAAGGAAATATTTCAAAATTTTATATTCTCTGCGTTTATATGATTCTCTTTTTTTAAAAGATTGTTGTTCATTTTCTTATTACTTGTATAAAAAGTTCCTATTGAAGTAAAATAACTTAAAATGTAGTTATTTTCAATTTTTATTCACCCGTCTTTCTTTTATTACATAACTTTCAAATTACTCAGCGGCCTAAGCCTAGGGATAAAATGACAAAAAAAAATTTCAATGCGGCCTCTGAATTGTAATGTGGCTTTCATGAACAAAAAGCCCACCCCTGGTCTACCCGAACCCATAGTGGGCTTGATAAAAAGACCCTCCTATTATCTACAGGGTGAAAAGAGTAAAAAATCAGAAAAACTTTTCGGGTTAAACTACCTCATCGGAGTCCCAAACCAAAGTACCTCAGTCTAATAAAATGAGTTACTTTGAAAGGCAATGTTTATCTCATGCACAGGAAAAGAAGACATTATTTGCCTATAACATCAATTTAAAGAGCCTGCGCGTCCCAAATTGCAATTTTGTTTTAATTTAAGAGAAAAGTCTAAAACAATGCGCGGGCATAGTAATTAATTACTTCTTAGTATATTCTGTAATTTAAAATGCAGCTGAAAACTATTGTATGATATCGTATTTTTATCAGAGGTGTAATTGTAAGTACGAAGAAAACCCTTGTACTTTGAGAACATCTAAATTGGACTTTAGAGTATGTACAGTACAGTACCTCGGCTAAAAATACTGAGCAAATTACTTCTTGCACAGATTTTTGCGCTGATTACGTATAGGAGTTTTTTTTATAAGTGGTATAAGTCCACTTTTGGAAAAATGAGTTAATGATAGTTTTAGTGAAGAATAGATGTCTTATTTTTATATTTATAATAACAAAGTCAATGATGATAATATCCTCATAAATTAATCAAAAGAAGTTTAACTGTAAAATGTTATCGCAAGAATATTTATTTATTTTTGTTTTGAAAGTGGAGTAAGTCCATTCGTAATAATCAATAATTGAAATAACTTTCCTTAAAGTCTTTATAACGGAAAATAGCTAATATTAAGTGTAAAGAAGAAATAAGATTGAAATATGAATACTTTGTTATTATTAGTTATTGATATTTTAACGAAGTAATTTACTTTTCATAGTGGTTTATTTAAAATTTCTTATATAATATCACTGAAAATATTTCTTAATATTAATAAAGTTGATTATTTGTTTACTTGAATGTTCTCATTTTAGTTATTATTGTTTACATTAAAAATATATATATCAGAAAAGCCAACTTCAATTAAAATATAAATTTAAAATTGTTAATGTTTATATTTTTCATAATTTGTTATTATTGAAAGAGTTATAACTCCATTTGTAACTAAAAAAAAAAACTATAGTTTTAAAAACATTGCCCGCTTTATTAGCGTTTGCCAATATTTTTTCGTTGATTCAAACGCAAACCCTTAAATATCTCAATGTATGAATAAATGGACTTATACCACTTTCAAAATGAAGGTCTTTTTTTGGTGCATTTAAGCCGTTTTGCAGATACTGCGCCACAAAGCTACGCCTTGCTCATACGAAATTCAATAGAAGATTCAAACTTGGGATGTCGATTTACTCCGCCCCAAATGTACTGTACCTGCGATTCCGTCTCGAAAATAGAAATCTAATAACAAATAACAAATGGTTTTCGATATCACTTCGACGAAGGCGGTTACACGAGTTTCACAAACTCTCGTCGAATTGATAAATGTGTTAAAAACTATTACAACCAGTGTGCATGAGTGTGAAAGCAGACTTTGCGCAATTAACTTAATAGCATTCGTTCCAATTTGCTGATACGGAAAATTGCATATCTGCTTTTCATCAAGGTACAGTACATGGACCACCTTCTCAATCTTTCATCTCCGTTCCTTATGTAAAGACGTGGCTATTTAGTCACCGTGTAGCAGAGGATTCTCGCTTGTGATTAGTGAGTACGCAAATTAAGGGGAGGGAAAAAGAGTTATGGAAACTGAGTAACTTATCGATATTACTTTTAAGACATTACACTTTAATTTTTATATAATGATTGTTTCGTTCCGTACATCATACAAATAAAAATAAAAAAACAAATAAACCAGCAACAAGTTGCTCAAGTTTCCCCGGAAACATTTAAAATTTTGGTGGCGCCATCTGTTATCATATTTTACTAAGAAAACTTTTTATATTTTTAACTATTATAAAATGGCAAAAAGTTTAGTTTTGAGGATAGGGATGAGTTTTTAAAAAAGTTGTAAATGCTAATAACTGGTAAGATCGTCATTAAGTCCGACTTACTGGAGATAAACACGACCCTCATTATCTCCCCTTCCACTTTTAACCACCAAAATTTAATAGCATCAATCCTCCTAATAAACTAACTTTCTTGCAAAATTTCAGAAATTTTCGATAAAAAGTACAGGAGTTATTAAGCTTCAAACAGGGTGAACAAAATCATACTGCTCACGACCCCACGCACACACTGACATCCATACATACAGAAATTACTTCCGAATTTTTTTGCATTTTTTGATGTTTCAAAGTGTCCGAAGTCCAAAAACGTAAAAATTTTGGGAGTCTTTTTTTTTAACCTATAGCTATATTTTCCCTCTGTTATAAGCAGGGAAAGTAATAAAAACTGAGAAATTTACATGCAAGTGTAAAATTTTAATAATAAGAAAGGTGAAGGAATAATAAGTAACTCTTGGCACCCTGGTACTTTTTAATTTACGACTACACTGCCTAGTTTTATAATATTAGGGCCTGAAAAATATTTTTGCTTAGGACCCACATTTTTTTAAATTTGTAGAATTTCTATGTAAGCTAAAAAAATTAGTGTCTGAGGCCTCACGCTTTTATTAAAATTTGTTGAAACGGGAAGAACCTCCTACATAATAGCTTAGGGCTTTAACAAATCGAAATTCGGCTCTGCTGAGGGGCTTAGATATATTAAAAATTATTTCCGAGTGTTTATAAATGTCACTGTGACTCGCTGTGGTCTTACCTCAAACACGCAATCTCCTACAGAAGTTTTATAACGTAGGAGGTAAGATAAAATTAAACATTTTTCTATTTTAATCCCCAAAAATGAAGTTTATTTAAATAACCATCAATTTTCTGGATTGCAGTTTTTATAACATAAACATTTTCAAAATCAAGTCACTTGTAATATCCCTTACAGAGGATCATAACTAGGCTCTATCATAGAGAAATCAGCAGAGCTATTTTACTTTTCTTGTATTTTTTGACCAAATTTTATTGTTTATAAAATATAATACAATTTTTAATGCAATATTTTTTAATACACTGAAAGTCCTCAAGAAGTTACGTTGTTCAGGTTTCTCTCGACCTACAGTATATACAAGCTAACATTTTATTGAATTTATATATTTATATACATGCATATATATAAATTCATGCGCCAGTGTAAAGTATAAATTATATTTCTATATATTAATATTATAATAATGTTAATGTTGAAAGTGAATACTGTTCTGTATTTGACTGCATGCAAGTACAGTATATAGTTATATACAGCCTTTCAACATATATACATAGAGCAGGATATACATATAAGCTAAACAAACTGCAGCTTAGGGCCTCGCATTATGAGTCTATAGCTTAAGGCCTTACATTTTAACATGTATCATTATTTGATGGATAGGAAGGGCCTGTTATCAATATAATGTTATAGCATATAACATATCAAAGCCACAACATGTCTAAGTCCAGCAGGTACAGTACATACACAAATAAGCATATATGCATATATAGAATAGTCCATTTATCAATTGCAAATGTATTTTGCAATATACATTAAATTGAAAAGGTGTCTTATGTGAAAGTTTATTATTTTGAACCAAATAGAAATTAAAACACCCGTTCTCTTTGTGGGTAACTTTGATTTTCAAATAAAACTTCTAATATTTTTTATTATTTTTTAAAAAGTTTTTAAAAAGTTAGTATTTTTGAAAAATAATACTGTACTTATAAAATGATTTTTATAATTTTATAATTTATTACCACTTAAGAAAGAACAAGAAAAATCAAAAATAAAAAATTTATATTGAAAATTTATGTAAAAATACAAATTTTTATAAAAATATCTTGAGTGTTAATTTCGGCAAATGTTCAAACAGTGACATTTACTTCAATGCATTTCTCAATAGGTTTTCAGAAACTGTACAGTGCTCTTCAAAATTTGTGAATCAATTGAAGCGCAAGTATCAATAATACATTGTTGCATATTTTTACACATTACGGGTACCTCGTGATAGCACTTTTCTTTTAACATTCCCCAGAGATGAAAATCTGGAGATGTCAGATCTAGCGAATGATAAATATTAATCTCTTTTATATTATTTCATTAAACTTTTTTCATTTCTATCATCCCTTCTTTACAGTGAAGTCTTATTTTTCAAAAGTACTAAACACGCTAATAACTTTTTAATTTCACATTAATCAAAAAATTGCTTGGAATAAACTGCTGTTATTTTTCAATAAAGAATCCAAAAACACAGAGATTGAGGATATTCGAAAATCTAGTTACTCCCGCCACACGCACAGGGAAGGGGTGTTTTAATTTTTATGTGGCTCAAAAAACCCTCCAAAATAAATTTTCATATAAGACATTCTTTTCAATTTAATGTATATTTCAGGACATATTTGCAATTTGCATTATAAATGAATTACCATGTATATAAAGTTACATATATTTTAAAATGGTGATCATTTTTTCAGCCTAAGTTTATCACCGTTTTAAAATATCTGTGATTTTATGTGTAAATTTTATAATCATCCTATAGGGTGTCCCAAAAGTAACGAAATATTTAAATTTTAAAAATAATGTATTATTTATTTATTAATTGGCAAAGTTGTTACATCATTTTAAAGGATAAACGTTGCAATTAAATATGGAATAAAATATCTGACAAATGTCCCCTACGACTCTTCTGACAAACTCATATTCTTTTGACAAAATTGTGAGGCCCTGGGTTGGGATGAAAAACATTCTTTTAACCATATATCCAAATAAAAATTAATCTTGATCTTCGCGATTAATTAAAATTAAAAGAACTAAATTATAAAGGAAACGGGAAAA